CTCATCATGAAGTTGGTGTGTTAGAAAGCAGGTATTTATTTTCAATACCGGATGCACGGAGGTTGAGCTCCTATCATACATACTTTGCACAAAAGATCTTCAACTTACATACATTACTTGTGTTACGTATGCAGAGGTTTTCCCAGAGGTATATTATGTACGCAGAGTTTTTCCCAGAGTTATTTACACATTCAGTAACTGACTCCAAGCAGAACTTCCTTGTCTACTTGGTACAAAAACTTAACAGATGTCTCGTTATTTACTTGGTACAAAGATTAAGAGAACAATCCTTATTTTCTTGGTACAAAGATTGAACAGAACTTATTTACGTGGTACTAAGATACAGCTCTTCCAGTTATCTAAACCAACTGCAGGGCTGTCTATCAATGAACACTAGCAAGCTTAACAATATTGTTACAGATGTATGCAAACTAAAATGAAAATGGTCTTTTCCAACCTTAATGATTCTACGATTCTATGTATGAGGACTGCTCCGAAAACAGTGTCTCCTATTTTATCAGGTTGGCCCTCAAACACCAGATGTTGGTCAGTAAAGGTGGAGCCTTCCTGCCAATATTCTACTACATTTTGCTGCCCTGGAACAGATAGTGATGGTACCAAAAGACTTAAGCAATTCAGTATTCAAATAATAGATTCCTTGATGCTCCAGACAGATAAGAATAAGTCCTTTTGTATAGACACTGTGGGAGGCACTAAAGAGCAATCTAAGAGACAAAGAATTGTCTAAGAGATATCTACAAGACAAGCAGGTTCCAATATAAGTTCCATCTGTGAGCCAACTGAAAGACTCCTTGAATAACAGGTGCAGATGCAGTGTTAGATTTACTATGTATGGAAAAGGTGGGAACTTTGTGAAAATTGTATAAGTATTCATATGTTAAACACATATGATCGTAGAATCATAGAATGGCCTGGGTTGGAAAGGATCATAATGACCGTCTAGTTTTAACCCCCATGCCACATGCTGGGTGCCAACCACTACACCAGGCTGCTCAGAGCCACATCTAGCCTTGCCTTGAATGCCTCTAGGGAATGTTGCTTATACCACCTCTGAAGAAAGACTATGTTACTACATGTCCATACATTCATAAATATATATGTGCACATAGCTATAGGAGCATATAAATGCACATATTTTTGAAGTAAGCTCTGCAATATCCAGAACAGCTGCTCCAATTCCTGCATGTCAGCACTGAGGAAAGGTAACTATTTCAGAGATCACCATCATCTAGACTCAGCCTTGTGTTGCCCCAGGGAAATAAGAGTCACCTTCCACAAGACTTACACTTCTCCAGACTCTCACTGTGAAATTCTTCCTATGAGAACTCCATAAACATGAACACAGAACATTCTACTTCAGCCTCTCTTTACACAGACCTATGTCTGTGTAAGGAAGACAAAGGAGCAAGGGAGCCAATCCATTCACAAATAAATTTGTTTTTGTATAACTTCTGCCCCTTTTTTAAGAACAAACAAACAAAACTTGCATATAAACACACATTCTATATCTACTGTTTTTAGTGCATTCTTCACTGAAAAATGCTAATGTGATTTAAATGTTACCTTATGTTTCTATAAAGCAGAAGTTCTATGATGGACAATACAATTACTATTTTGAAGGGATGTAGCTCTGGGGTGTGCATGGTTTCTAGAAAGACCCCCAAGCACCCAGCACTGTAATAAACCAGTGTCAGCTTTGTGAACTATCATCTGATTTGGAGAATTTTCTTGTTAACTGTTTGGGGTAACCAAGGGTTTGGCACCCCCAGATGGGACAAGCTCTTTGGAATCTCAACAGACCAGGGGAATCGTGAAGACTGCAGATGAGTATTTTCAGGAATACTCTCCAGTTCCACAATCAGGTGAATTTCCATGTCAGCTACCTGTTAAATTAATGACATTGATCACAGGTTGGAATGCCTACATGTAAATCGTATCTGTTTTAAATACATACTGTCAGGCTATTACTGGTATTAAGGTACTATATCTATATAATCTATATGCTACTGTGGGGACTCCCAGAGTCCATATTTTGGTTGGCATACTGAATCAAGGAGATAGTGTATAGCCTTATTCAAACGAGGCTGGAATGTATATAACAATAGAAAAAAGGTGGATGAAGAAGAACTTATTGATAGTAAGATGCTAGTAACAGTTATAACCCAAGAAATTGGTAAGGTCAGGGTTAGAGCCTGAGGGGAAGAAGGTCTTAAGGTGGAGTGCAAGGGGACAGAATACCATTAGGAGAGGATCAGTGTGCTTCCTGCAAGCAGAAACAACTCTGGAAAAGCAGATGTCCTCTCTTAAGCTCCCAGGGCCTTTGGGAAATGCTGACACAGGATTCTAAATTTGGACTAAAAACCTGGTTTCTCTGTATCTTGCTTTTTATGTAAGCTAGAAATGAATCCAAGACTGATATAATCAATGGATCATTAGTTTTCTGTAGAAATTTCTGCATTAATGTGATACTATTGTTAGAAAACATGGCCCTAAACATCTCTTGTTCACAAACTCTCACCTTTGCCTCTTGGCTGAAGCTTTACACATCTTGGCCCATGAAGCTTTCTATCAGACACATGAAAACTAAAAAGAAGGGATGACCTTTCCTTCGCTCTCTCACTATCATTTTACATTTAAATTATAGCCTAAAATGCCTAGATGGACTATATATGAACTCTAAAATGGGACAAGACTGCTGTCTGCTGGCACTTCTTGGATATTACCATGTGAAAGTGCCCATCTATGTGATAGTGCTCATCTGTGTGATATTAGCATCACATAGAATTTCTCCTTAAAATTAATACAGAGGAAGTGGTTTGCATGCTTTTACACAAAAGACATCATATTTAAGAGAGTGTGCTACTGACAGTAAGATCCATAAAGGGATTTAAGTAGGAAGGTTTTAGACTTGGAACAAATGCTACTGATGTAAGAGAAAGTTTTGACTCAATGAAGGCAAGTAACATCCCTTTAGTGTTGTAATTTGGACATAAAAAGAAAAAACCCTAAGTGTATTTTTTAAAATAATTCAATCTAAATTAAAAAAAAAAATGTTCTCAATTATTTTTAAAATCAGTGAGTTAAGCATACTGTCTTGCTGCTGTAGAAAAGAGGGTATTGCAGAGACACCTATTGCCTGTCCAGTATTTGAAATAACCTTTTGTAGATTTCTGTGTTGATCCTAAATGTTCCATCTTCCCTGGGGCTATAACAGCTCTTCCTAGCTGAGCAGGATAAATTAAAAGAAAGCAATCTGTGACTTTTTCCCAGGATAATCACCTTATTTCAAAGGAGTGTATCTTCTGCTGACTGGTTATCAAAATAGTTTCAAGTGAAGCCATTACGCAGCAACACGAACTGCAGGTGCTTATTCATGCTACCATACCTGGATAGTTCCTCTGAGAAGACAAGGTCTGGATGGGCTGAACATACCCCACATCTAAATATTGCGTGCACCTTTCTTTCAATGTATTGCCTCAGTATCTGCCAGTCTGCACAGTCTCACACAGATCTTTCATCATACCTGGGCTAGCTGGGTATGGGGGAAAAAATGCAGTTTTGTGTCTTCATTTAGTTATGTTTAAGAAAGAAATATGAAAGTACCTTATAACCTGTCACTGGCAGTCCCCTCCCCTTTTGGTCTCCAAAATGAAGGCAAGCTCTTGCTAATAGATTATGCTTTTTCCTCAGTCATAAGCAACCTGCAGAAGACTGTATTTCTGCTTCCTGCAACAGGCAGACAGAGAACACAAGCTAATTGCCCAGCATCCTACTTCCATCCCTTTCAGAGCAAATGGCAAGTACAATAGCGATGGAAGAAGCTATCCACAGTCTGGCAAGGCTATAAAGAGAAACGCCAGTCTGTAGTAAGCAAATCACTTTCAATGTAAAACAATTACAGAAGGCTTAAGTTCTGTTACCATCCTGAAGCAGAAGAGTGGGGACGAAAGCACCATGACTATTGCTGTGAAATTACATAGTGAAAAATAAGTGCAAATAAAGCTAGGTAATCGTAACAAAGAATCATTTTTGTCTAAAGGAAGAACTGTTGCCATGATGTTTTAATGGGTAATGTGTACAGCAGGAGATATTTGGACTATCACAGACAGAGCAGTGCAGAGGAAGGAAGTGGCCTGTGGTTTCCACAGAAAATTTTTATGGTGACTGGATGACAAAATGAGAGTGGAGACACAGGTGGAATTGTTTTTGTACGAGACTGTACCGTTGTGGGGACAGGGGGATCCACAATGATGCATTTCCCAGAAGGTCTTTACAAAAACCTGTAGTTGCATAAGTCACATGGGAGAGAGTGCAAAGACAACTGGAGAGCATTCTACAGCACGGTGGACATGTTCTGTCTTGGTTTCTCTTGACAGACACAGTATGTTTGAACAAACCTTCATTGTCTGAGAGCTGCAAGCCGATCCTGTCTGGAAAGCGAGCCAGTGGATTCTGATGACCTTGAAATAATTTTCAGCGCATCAGACTGACTGCAGATGCATCTAAATCTACCACAGTATGTGAAGCAAACGATTTCTTTCTGGTGCAGTAATGTTTGCTGCTACCCTCAAAATGGCTTTTTATTAATGTGACAGAAGAATCTGAAATGTAGCATTTATCTTTCAGAAGCAATATAGAAAAAGGTTGTTAGGGTTTTCTTTTGCAAGTAAGTCTCCAGCATTCACAGAATGACTCATGCCTGTCAAGGCAGTGTTTTTCTTAAATCCTTCTCCATGATATCTCATTGCAATTTTTCCTAGTGATGATAAAGGATTTGTCTGAGACCAGCCAAGTGATTCTTCTGGACGGTTCTTGTGTGAATTACTTTCAACCTATCAGAAAATTGAATGGAATCCTGCAAGACTCTCAGGTGGCTGAAGAGGAAAAAAAATGGTTTTGCCTTAATTCGCCATCACAAAGGAGAAGCAACTAAATGAAAAGGTGTGCGACTGTGACCACCACAAAACAACTTGATTATTAAATTTCACAAGTTGAAGAAATAAAACATTCTCAATGTTTAGAGTATAAGCCTGACAATATGGAAGCTGTATTTATGGAGTGATTATATTTCTAGACATTGACCCCCTTTACACCACTTTGAAAACTCTATACAGTTTATGTCTACAAAATGAGAATAGCACATGATACCAGTGAGGAGAACATGGCGAATAGTTTTTTCAGAACCTCTCTCTAAGAACGAAATATAGACAAAAATACAAGTGAACTCTGAAAAAATGCTCTTATAAATGCTACAGATGTTACAATGAGATTTCAAGCTATTGCTCTGCCGTGGTCATTTAGATAGAGATTAAGTTTCCAGATATGGCAAACGTTGTTTAAGCCTCTGCTTACTAAACTCACTTGCAGTGCACTTTTTCTCTTAACTTATGATACGAAAGTATGTCATAGTGACAGTAACATGATTTTTGGTGGTGGCACGAAACTTACAGTGATCGGTAAGAAGATTTTCTTTTTTCTTTCAAATCACTTAAAATCCTGGGTATTCTCATCAGATTATTTCACTTTAGCATTCTCTTCTTCTTTATTAAACTGATGTTTTACTGATGTACTAGCTGCCCAGTCTATTTTGGAGACTAGGTTAAGTTCTATTCTAGGTAAGGACACACTTTTCACTTTGAATAACTGAAAGAAAACATTTTCAGTAATAAAGAGCAGTCTGTCAAACAAATTAGGTTGAGAACGGGTTGAAAAATATATGCATGTCATCAATATTCTTTATAAACCAACATCTGCAAAAATCACTGCTCTTGAAAAGTGTAACTGTGCTTCCAGGTTATTGTGGAGGTAACACTGAAAGGCTACCTGAGTTACAGTTACATTTAGGAGAGGTCTCAAGAAGAAAATCAAGACTCTGAAAACAAAGTACTTTAGATCTTATGGGGGTAAACTAACACATGTTAAATCAGATAACTGGGAGAGACATATACCTACTAGTTTTTAGCTAACAAAACAGAAGCAAAAAGTTTCTCAGCTTTATCACAGGCAATACTAACACCTCTATGCAGCTGTTTAACAATCAGTTGTTCTAGAAAACAGCTCTCCACAGCATGGCAAGATTCTTTCTGTATAGCAAGTTTGTCAGGATTGCGCTAGAAAGTCAATTTGGAATAAGAGTCACACTGTTTCAGAATAGATGATAAAAAGCTGATTAATATCACCTAAGACTATTTTCAAATTAAAATAACTCTTGGAGAACATTTATTTCTGGGTCATAGGTCAGGATTTGGACTCCTTCCAAATCCAGAAGAAAACAAACATGTTTCTAAGACTGACAGATGATAGAATTGTAGAATGACTTGGCTTGGAAGCGACCTTAAGGATCATCAAGTTCCATCCCCCCTGTTGCAGGCAGGGTTGCCAGTGATGGTGTTCTCTTCTTCTCATTACTATTATTCCTGGGATTAGAAGAACTGATGCTTTTATAACAGGCCCTTCATTGCAGAGCAAAAAAACTTTCAAGTGATAAAATTCTTTCTCCATATGAAAAAATGGAGGCCCTCAATTGAAGGTGATCAATTAATTATTTTTTTTAAATACGGTGTGAATCTGAGGTGCTGATGAAAAACAATGCACTGATCCATCATTGACTGTTGACGCTATGAATTATCTCGTATGCTAAAAAAACCCAAAACACTTATTTTACAAGAAAAGGCTATGCATGACATAGAAAGGAGATGGGGAAATAAGGAATTGAGTCCTTTCAGCTGAAAATAAGGAAATAAATCTGCCTTCTCTTTATGAGGAGTATGTTCTAATACTGCATGTTCTTAAGTGTCCTGTAAAGAATTTTTGAAAGATGCACAAATTGATTCACCTGCGCCTGAATCAGAAAGCTCTGAAGAGGAATTTCTGGGACTTGTCTCACCAGATTAGACAGACATGCAGTTGCTGTTCCTTTACAGACCTTTCCTGTATTTCCTAGGAGACCATAAATTCATGTGTTTTGTGTTTCATTGTCTACCACATGAGGGAGGGTTACTGCAGAAGCTTTGTTCAGAGAATGGACAGTAGTAGAGAGGTTTTAATGCAGCTGCAAAATAGTGTGACTAATGAAAGATTGTTCTTTGGCACTGGGACAAAACTCACAGTACTAGGTAAGTCAAAAGTCAGATCTCTGTAGTATATGTAATATCGTTTTCAGGGATAAAAGAACTTCTTAACTAACAGCAGAATAATGTTAATTTTTCCCCATCCACAAGGACAGGACAGATGCTTTACAGATTGTTACTAGGAAAAAAAAAAAAAAAAAAGGAAGATGGATATGGAAGCATAGGGTTTGCAGACACTAATTTTAAGATCCTTTTTAGCCTTGACTTGTGCTGCTCTGTCTTCCCTGACTGAAAGCTTCATGATGGGAGAAGTGAAAAAAAAACTCTGCTCCCGTTGTCCAAGAAAACAGATCGCTCTCTGGTCTGCATGTTTTGTGAGCTCTTCTGTCTCACTGTTTATCAATCAAAAGCAACATTTAGGAGGTATGATCATGCTCACTATTCATACTCTTGTGACTGCTGAATACGGCAGGGAAGGAGCAGATTTCTGGTAATTTGCTTTTCTCACCATAGATGTCAAGCAGGCTGCTTGAAGTTGCACTGGGACAGTCGCTCCATTTATCTTTCTTTTTTACTGTTCCTGATTTTTAAAGTCTGTGTTCTCTTTCTCTCGCTTTTCTGAGCAGAGAAAGTGCCCTATTCTCCTGTATTCCTTCTATTTTTCTCCATCTACTTTTTCAGCCTTCTCCTGCTGCAGAAAAGAATTTAACACAGCTTATCTGATCAGTTGAGCATTTTGGAATCCCAGAGTAAAACTACTTTTTCCATCTGCCACTGCAAGCTCCGATAGCAAACTGTAGAAATACACACCAGAATACGTTCCTTTGAATATTCCCATTTTAAGGAACTTAGTGACTGATAAGGGCAACACAAGGACTTTGTGGGTTGTAGTCTGATGAGGTTCAGCTTTGTTTTTTAACTGCAGTTATATTTGGAGTTGACATCGTAGTCAAAGCTATGCACAAGCTGCTGTGATTTTGCCCAAGTGCTTAATGTAAAGGTCAATTGAAAATTTCCCTTAATGATATATAGTATACACATAGATTATTTTCAGATGAAAGTATGGGTTAAAGATAACAAGAAATCATGAAAGTGATCTTAGTATGATGAAAATGGAATGGAAGAACTGTGATACGTTTTCTCTGGGATGAGTGAAGAGTATAAGGCAGGGCTTACATGCATTTATGCATGAGAGTGGTTAAGCATTGCAACAGTGACCTTATATGACCAACGTGGATGATCAGAACAGAATGGGCTTTTGACAACATGTTTTACGATTGCCTCTATTCTTGCTTGCATCAGTCTCCTTATTCCACTTTAAATACGCTAATTCGTTGGCTATGTTTGGTTGTTTTTTTCTTTTTAATTCTTTTTACTTTGATTCTCTCTGCAAGCCTTTTTCTCAGCTTTCCTTCTTTGTTTTGTTGTTGTTTGCTTGTTTTTAAACCTCCCTCACTATTACTTTGTGTTTTCTTTTCTTCATCTGTTTCCATGTCTTCACTCATTGACCACCACACTGATGTTATATTAGAGATACATTAAGAGCTAAAATAAACAACAAAGACACAACTAGGTACTGGAAGTAAAAGTAATCAACCTTAATTTGTGCTAGCTGGAATGGAAGTAGAGGAGTTCAAAACTTTCTAGTGAGTTGACTATGAAGACACATCACTGTAAATTACTATACCTCTTCTGAGGCCTGTATGAGCTCATATGTATAGGCTCAAGGCTCTTTGTGGAGTAAGCACTGACAATCATGATTAAGGCTAACAGTTGAAAGAAAATACAGAGGCTTTTTGGAGTCAAGATCTGTGCAAGACATAAAACTCTTTTTATTTAGATGTGTCCACTCTAGAAAAAAGGAAATGATTATGAAAAGCATCCACAATAGATAATTCCATCACATAGAAAAAGTACAAAGTCTTAGTACATAATTCTCTTAATGGATTTCTCTTTCCATGTGTGTTCTGCAGACCCGGTGGATTTGTCATGCTAGATAAGAATTAAAAAAATAATAATAATAAAAAGGACCTCTAGATAAATACATATGAAACATAGCAAAAATATTAAAAGGTTGCTTTTAGGTTTACTGCTTAGTAAGTAACATCTTACCGTAGCCTTTTAGCTCCTTTCTCCTTTTTGACTGTAGATGTATACATATAAGGACATGGATCATCTAGGACATGAAATGTTTTTTTCTTGTGAGTGTATATGCATTTTATTTCAAAAGTCTTACACAAGGTTTTCTTATTCTGAGCATAACCTGAATAATAAAGCAATATTTCGTGGTCTTAAAATAGGATAGTAAGTTAAGAACTAAAGATGAAGTTGTCCTACTCAGTTTTAGATTATGTACCTGAAGTGATTCAGACAGTGAGAATGAATAATTCTTTCCTTTCAGATCGTATCGTACCTTGAGCGACAAGTAAGGTATCACATAGAAGTAAAATTTTGAAAATAACAATAACCACCATGTCCTACTATAACTTCAGGAATGTGCCACAGTCAGCTGAAGATGCTTATGAATTTTGTCTCCTAGTACAACATCACAAATACAGGCCTACTGTATACTTTTCTCCCAATACGTTTGCTCATTTTCTTATCAACTGTTCTGTTCTAATAGAGACAAGAGAAATGCAAATAGTACTGAGTTTCTGTTGATAGAGCTTTTATATTACTGTATAACTAATGATTTTTGCACTTGTGCATATCTGTATTACAGATAATTATCTGTCTACTAGGAATTTATTAAAAGGCCAGTTGCACAGCCCAAAAAATTCATAGTTAAAAAGGGTTGCTCAGAAGAATAATGAAGCCTTTGAGCTATGCTACTTTCTACATTACTGTTTCAGGGAAGAAGAGTGAAATCGTACCACCGACTGTGGCCATCTTTTCACCATCAAAGCAGGAGATTCAACAGAAGAATAAGGCCACTCTGGTATGCCTGGCTTCCGGTTTCTACCCTGATCACCTCAATTTAGTCTGGAATGTGAATGGCAACAAGAGGACAGAAGGAGTGGGAACAGATGAGATTTCCACATCAAATGGGAGCACTTACGCATTGACCAGCAGACTGAGAATCTCAGCCCAAGAGTGGTTCAACCCTCTGAACCGTTTTGAGTGTATTGCTGAATTTTTTCACGGTGAACAGAAATCAATACATAAATTCATCCATGGTGATACTGGTGAGTAAAAAACATAAGAGTATCGCTGTGGTTTACATAGTTACATAGGAAATGCTAAGTCAAGGCTTGAAACGGTGATTGAGCACCTGGTAGGAAGGCAGGGCCAACCCAGGGTTGCTCAGTTGCATGCAGTACACCTGAGTGACCAGAAGGATTAAAGCCAGGATCCACCCCCTTCCACGACCTCATTTTAAGGGCTGACAGTGGAGGTGAGGATATCTCACTGGAGATCCCTGCCTACCTGAAGCCTCCCAAAAGTAAGCAAATTTTCTTCCTTTGTTTCTGTGTCCATGGCTGCTGCATTTGGGCTTGTCCTCTTTTGCTGCAGTAGAAGACTTTGCCACCCTGCTGTTATTGTCATACTTTCCATCACATTCTAGTATTACAGTGTACAAGTTAGAAATAAGAGGAAAAAAGAGGATATGGATAATTTATTTCTATACAGTGGTTTGTTCATGACACAAATATATTTGTAATTATATAGGTATTTGTATGTCTTCATATTCATAGCACCATGTATCTACAGTATTATCTATATAGAGAGAGAGATTTTCAAAGGTTTATTCAAATTTTCTTAGTGTAAGAACATAGTAAAATATAAAATATATACTAACGTAAAATGAAAAATACACAGTATAGTAAAATAAATATTGTAAACAGAAACATCAAAAATACGTGTTTGCTCATACCAAAGAAAGATGTGACATTCTGTTTTTATTTGTCTTTCAGGATGTATGCTTACTAAAGGTATGTGTAATTTCTCACCTTCGCATAGGCAAATAAACGTCTGTATTTCAGTTTTACTGATGGTAAATATAAGAGGTGAGAGATATATATTAAATTTCTTTCTTCTAGAAGATTAACTTATCCTTTCAGATCTGAGTGACACCTCTATTATTTAAAAACAAACAAAAAAAACGAGCAAAAAAAAACCCAGTAAAGGTTGGAGCAACATTCTGTACGATTCTTATCTACATTTACTTTTTGAAATAATGGAAGAAAATGTGGAACCTTTCCGTGCCACCACTTGCCCTTTCTATCTCCCCTGTCTTCAACATCACCTTCTATAGGAAAGCTACATGTTTATCTTTTTTCTGGCAGAAAGTTCATCCATGAAAGAAAAAAAATCATGCTAGCCAAGTGGTTATGACATCGAAATTGAAAATCATAGAGTCATAGAATGGCCTGGCTTGAAAAGGACCATAGTGATCACCTAGTTTCAACCCCCCTGCTATGTCTGGGATCACCAAACAGTAGACCAGGCTGCCCAGCACCGCATCCAGCCTGGCCTTGAATGCCTCCAGGGATGGGGCATCCACAACTTCCTTGGACAACCTGTTCCAGTGTGTCACCACTCTATGAGTGAAAAACTTCCTCCTAATATCTAACCTAAACCTCCCCTGCCTCAGTTTAGAACCATTCCCCCTTGTTCTATCACTATCCACCCATGTAAACAGCCATTCCCCCTACTGTTCATACACTCCCTTCAAGTACTGGAAGGCCACAATGAGGTCTCCCCAGAGCCTTCTCTTCTTCAAGCTAAACAATCCTATTTCCCTCAACCTTTCTTCATAGGAGAGGTGCTCCAGCCCTCTGATCATAGATGCCCTCCTCTGGATCCATTTCAAGAGTTTCCATGTCTTTCTTGCACTGGGGGCCCCAGGCCTGGACGCATTATTCCAAATCAGGCCTCACAAGAGCCTTTTTGAACCTCAATAGGTTTTCATGGGCCCAATTCTCCAGCCTGTCCAGGTCCCTCTTGTTGACTTCCCTTCCCCCTACTGTATTGACTGCACTGGTCACCTTGGTGTCATCCACAAATTTGCTGAGGGTGCACTTGATGCCATCATCTATGTCATTGATGAAGATGTTGAAGAGCACAAGTCCCAAGACCAACCCTTGGAGGACACCTTGGAGGTGACCGGCCTCCACCCCAAGATGGAACCATTGATCACAACCCTTTGGCTGCAACCAGTCAACCAATTCTTAATCCATTGAACAGTCCATCTTTCAAATCCATATTTCTCCAATTTAGAGAGAAGGATGTGGTGAGGGACCATGTCGAAGACTTTGCAGAAGTCCAGGAAGATGGCATGCATCGCCCTTCCCCTGTCCAATGATGGCTCCATCCATCATAGGACACCATCAGTTTGGTCAGGCAAGATCAGAAAGCCGTTAAAATAAAAGGCTAAATAGCCTTTAGTAGGCTAAATGTTATTTTGTGCTGTGTAAAACTTACCTGATATGACAGCATCCACTGACAATAACAAGTGAAAACAAATGTATTTTGTAATTCAACTTACATCAATTTCCTAAGGGGGATTTACATGACCAGCCTACATTTTTATCAGGTGTGGTAACACAGAGGTTAACCATTCCCAGCCAGAACATATTTTCTTGTCATAAAGCCATTCTGTGTCTTTTCTAGGATTGCTTTCTCCTGTCATTCTTTGAATCACAATATTCTTTCCCATTCTGTGCTATCTCAGATATCAACATAACCATTCATTTGACTGTAATTCCTTTGCTTAGTTAAAGATTTCAAGTATTTCTGGTACATTGTATCAAGTCTCTTCTGATGGTGATAATTTAATATGCAAATTGCATTTGTTTTGCAGAGTCCTACTTGCATTATGGAAATTCTATGAAGCTCACTTACCTCATTCTGTGTGGCAAAGCCTTCCTCTATGCAATTTTGGTGTGCGCTCTGATGTGGAAAGTCAAGGTACACTGATGTGTCACTTTCAGGCTGAGCTTGTTTACTAGTACAAGAATTAGTGGACAAAACAAAATTTACAAAAAATCACAAGTAGTAAGTTTCCTGTTACAGTTTTTCCAGAGCTCAAACAAAATCAGTGCTGCCCAGCAGAGAAATTCTTTCTGAAAACATATGGAAAAAGATAAGAAGTAGTAAGCACAACTTCTACAGAAAGCAAAGAAGGGAAATACCAGACACATCATGCTTTTCTGTAATCACTGAGAAGGGACACTTGCCTGCAGCAAAAGTAAAATCAGGGTTTTGAAGAAGATACAAACAATGAATGGGATAAATCTAGAAGAAAATGGGAGAATTTTAGGCAGCTAGTAACAGACATAAAACACTTTTTATCTGTAATCTTTTCAAATTCCTGATAGATATTTCTGGTAAGAGTAGTGGAAGCCTCAGCACCAACTTCCTTTAGTTGTAGACTGGGAATTGTGTTTGAGAAGGGACATAATACAGTTGAGAGCGAGTATGAGTACAGCTCCAGTTGTTTTCAAGACTTTTTTTCCTCCTTTTTGAAGCCTACATGAGAAAGTACATTACTGGGTCGCAATCATTTGTGATTTATTTATTTATTATTTATTTATTTAAAGTTATTAACTCAGTATGCAAGTAAATAATCTGTATGGGTACTTTCGTAGCAAGATATGTTCTTGCTACTAAGAAAGGCTGAAGGAGCTACAACTTCACAGAAGCACAGTGTCACGTAATTGTAGGGGTTGAAATCAACCTCTAGATATCAGCCCCTCCTAAAGCAGATTCTCTACAGTAGGTTGCACAGGAAAGTGTCCAGGTGAGTCTTCTTCCTTTTATTTATATGGAACTTCTTATGCTCTAGTTTCTGCCCCCTGTCCCTTATTCTATTCCTGAATGACAGTGAAAAGAGCCTGGTCCCGTCAAAACTTGACATGCTCATTTCTGTGCATGCTCTCAGGAAACATGACAGTACAGGCAGTTGTAAATTTGGACTATTGTTTCACCATGCTCTTGCTTAATTATTTATTCTGTTTTGTTTTCATTTAGGCTGGTAGCAAGCCATATAAAGAATAAGTGAATAATCTCCTCCATCTCATCAGCAGGAAAACAACAAATTCCACGTTTTTCTTTTCTGCAGTAGAGTCCAAGCTTCTAATATCCTCTTTCTTGATGGTTCTCTGTTCTCTCCTGTTCTTTCAGCTTTGTTTTAATCACTGCCAGATTTCCCATGGACATGCAGGGTAATTTCTATCCTAGCTTTAAAACACCTCCTTACTGCTCAGAGGTGTCAGCTTCTTAAATTAGGAATAAAGTTTGTGTCACTCCATTCAAGAAGTTTGAGTGTTTTATCCCAACTTGATATTTTGTTGCAATACTATTCTACATCACAACTTCAGCGGCACTTAGTATTGCAAAATATACACATTCAAATGTATACATTCAATGACAATACTGAGAGGAAGAATCTATCTGTTATGTGAATATTAGAAGGCTCATCCATTGCTGATATTGTGTTCTAGAAAATAAATTGGGGTTCCAAGCTTTAAAATCTTGCATGCCCCACTATCAGTGACTGAGAGAGTAAGGATCCAGGTCAACTGCTGGGAGACTGATAGTGCACATGTGTGGGTCTCAATGTGTGTGTCTGGGGGGAGGGAGGAGGAGGGATGGAAGTGAAGTTTTGTATCTTCAAGGGAGATAAGGAGAGGAGGTGAAAAGGAGAGAGTGTCAGTACGAGGAAGCAGAGTGAGGCTGTAGTCTTCAGAGTTTCATATGTCCCTCTACAAGCATGTGAGGAGACCAACGATTTAGGGCCAGTTCCTGAATAGCTGAGCAGCCCGAGTGTCCAAGGTGAGCTACTGGAGGGATTCACGCTTTGTATAGTTTCTGTTAGCAGACCTTTATCCTGATCAGACAGAGGAGAAAAGACTGATGCAGCTGTTGATGTTTGTGTTTGTGTGGTGCTAAGTTTTTGTCCTTGTGTTACGTTGCATGACTGGCTGCTGAGGCAGGCAGGTAAGCACCAAACAAGTGTTTGCTCACTCCTTCCTGCAGTGAGATGGGAGAGAGAATTGGAGAAAAAATAAAGCTCATAGGCTGATAGTTTGATAGGACAAAAAAAAAAAAAAAAAAAAAAAAGATGCACAATGTAATTGCTCCCACCTACTGCCCATCCTTCAGCGATGGAGCACCACCAATTCCTCTGTTTTTGTCACATGTTCTGGAATGTCCCTTTGGCCAGCTTGGGTCAGTTGTCCTGATTCTGTCCTCTCTTTTGCACCCCCAACCTCCTCACAGGCAGGGCAGTGAAATAAGCTGAAAAGTCCTTGACTTAATGTAAGCACTGCTCAGCAACACTAAAATATTTGTGTGTTACCAACACAATTCGCATTCAGATTTCAAAATATAGCATCATAACAGCTACTAGGAAGAAAATTAACTCTGTCCCGGGAAAAACCAGGACACTGGTTCTGTCAATGTGTATTTTTGTACTGTGTGTCTGGGTTATTTTGTTTGTTTGTTTGTTTGTTTTGTTTAGTTTTTATTTGATTTCTTTAATATAATTTATTTTTTACAATATATAATTTCCAGTGGATGGAAGTGGGGACAGGGAATGGCGGCAGTTTAGTTTCTGTTGGGCTATTAGATTCAATAACAACAAATAAAACATTTGGAACTTAGAATCATAGAATCACCAAGGTTGAAAAAGTCCTCCAAAATCGTCCAATCCAACCATCTACCAACCACAAATATTTCCCCACAAAACCACGTCCCTTTAGTACAACAACTAAACATTTCTTGAACACCTCCAAGAATGGGTATCCAACCACCTCCCTAGGCAGCCCATTCCAGTGCTTGACCACTCTTTCAGAGAAGAAATTTTTCCTAAAATTCAACCTGAATAATCCCCTGGTGCAACTTGAGGCCATTCCCCTCTAGTCCTATGTGAGAGAAGAGGCTGATCCCCACCTCACCACAACTTCTTCTCAGGTAGTTGTAGAGGGTGATATGGTCTCTCCTGAGCCTACTCCTCTCCTAACTAAACAGTCCTAGTTCCCTCGGCCTAAGCTTAGCGATCCAGCATGGCCAGATCCCTCTGTAGGTCTTTCCTACTCCCAGGCAGATGGACACTTCCTTCCAATTTGGCATCATCTGCAACCTTAATGAGGCTGCACTCAGTCCCCTAATTCGGGTGATCAGCAAAGGACAAGCCCCAATACCAAACTCTGAAGAAAGCCACTTGTGACTGCTTGCCAGCTGGATTTATATCTGTTCACCACAGTTCTCTGGGCCCAGCAATCTGTCCAGTTCTTCACTCAGCAAAGAGTGCACTTGTCTAAGACAGGAGCTATCAGCTTCTCCAGCAGAATACAGTGGGAGACAGTGACAAAGGCTTTGCTGAAGTGCCTTGACAATCACCTCTGCCTTCTCACTCAGCATACTCAAATGGATCCCTTCTAGCCCCATGGACTTGTGACAGTCCAGGTGGAGTAGTAGGTCTCTAAATGTTTCCGTCTGAATGGTGGCTTATTCTGCTCTGCACCCCAGACTTCCAGATCAGAAGGATCCTTCCATCAGAATATCAGGATAACAAGATATCAGGATAACTGGTCCTACAATTAAAGACAGATGTAAAGAAGGCATTGAGAACCTCAGCCTTTCCCTTATCTTCAGTGGTCATGTTCCCTGCCACATCCAGTAAAGAATGGAGATTTTCCTCAGCCCTCCTCTTACAGTTAATACATTTATATTAAAATTTTTTTTCTCTTATACTACAGTAGCTCAGCCTGCTCCTGCACCTCAAAGACTTTCTCCCTGTGGAGTGTTCAGCCTTCCTGGACCCTTTTCTGTTTGGGGCAAAGTCCCAAGGGACTGTCTCTGTCAATATCCTGAATAGTTCAAAGTCCACCCTCCTGAAGGATAAGGTAGTAGTTTTTCTGACCCCCTTCCTGACTTCACCAAAATAGAATTTACCATTCCCTTCTAGCCATCTTAGAGCCCCTAAGATGTCAATAGTGTACAGCACCACTTCGATAGGTAGTGGTACATTTTGCATTATTTTTAGGAAAAACAGGTTTCCAATATTTCATCCCCAGCTTCTCAAGTAGAATCAAGGATCAGGTTGACTGATCGCCCACGATCATGTCCAGATGGATTTTAATTGTCTCCAAGAATGGCAATTCCACAGCATCTCTGTGCAATCTACTCCAGTGTTCAGTCATAATTACAAGAAAAAAAAGAACCTGTTTCCTGATATTCAGTATATCCTCCTGTGTTTCAGTTTGTGCCAATTTTCTCTTGTCCTGTCACTGGACACCACTGAAAACAGCCTGGTTCTGTCTTCTGCAAAACATTTCTCATATATTTTTGCACAAAAATAAGATACCTACTTGAGCCTTCTCCTTTCTAGACTAAAGTTCCAGCTCTCTCAGTCTTTCCATATAGGATAAATTCTCCAGTTCCTTAATCAACTCTGTGCTCCTTCACTGAACTCTCTCCAATATCTGCATATCTCTCCTGGTTGTAACCCAGAATTTAATACAACAGTCCAGATGTGGCTTCATCAAATCACCTCCTTCATCCTGATGGTAAGACTCCTAATGCAGTCCAGAAAGTGATTATTTTTCTTTGCTACAGGGGTATGTTGCTGTGCATAAACTTGCAGTTCAAAGTCTGTCCAAGGGACAAGACCAAAGACATGAAAATCTACACTGTTCCTATGAAGGGTACACCTAGAAGACAAGCTATCAACATTGTAGGTACATAGTTCACTCAGAGTACATGACCAGAGACAAGACTGGATAGAGTTTCACCTACAACATAGCTCACGCAAGAATTGAAGGCCTAGGTCTAATCTTAAATAGATATCCTGGTCTCATGTACAGAGGGTGAAGGATTAGGTCCTAAGTTAAGGTGATCAGGTACACTGCACCTATTGGCACACTCAGACTCTGACAGAAAGCATCAATATGAATCCTGCCTAAAATTACCACTCAGATAAAATTTGGCTTTGACTACATTTGTCCTGTTCCTAGAGGACTGTAGACAGTACGTACAGAGAACCAAAACACAGATCACAATTATAAGTAAGATTTTCAGGCTGCATCCACCAAAAATGTTAAAAAGTTTTCAGCCTAGTTACATACAACAGCGGGAAGCTGGAAATTAAATGTTACCTAGGTAAAAAATGTGAACTGGCTTCAGATATAGATAAAATCAAAGAGATCGATCCACTGAGATGTGACTAAGAAGGTCGATGTTGACTTATGCCAGCCATCTAAGCCAGAGAAAACAGTTGAGACAAGAGTTCCTCCAGGTAGACACATTAATGAATATCCAATACTGTAAAAGACTGATCCTGAGTTGCGTGTTATAAACCAGGTGACCTCAAAAAACACCAATGAGTGAGTGTCCTGTTCACCCAAGTCCAGGGTGCTGGCCACAACTTATACTGAAGAGTCTGACTGCTGGGTTTGCTGTACAGAGCATGTATATGCATGTGCATGTCAGAAACCTTAGGATAAAACCTTCTGTCCATCTGTCACACTCATTTTAATATATTAGTAGATTAATTTTAGATACTATGTCACTTGATGATATTGTTTTCTTCTTGTGACTGCCTTGTCCCTAAATTATCCCATGACAGAAACTGTAATCATTTTTTTAGTGCACCTGTACTGTTTATCCTCTTACTGGTATTTAGCATCTGTTTGGTATGATCATACACATCTGTGTCTTTCTAGTTTTCAGTCTGTCACAGCCATCTTCCTGCTTCTTACCAGATATATATACAAGATTGGAGATTGGATTCCTGAGTGGCAATGTGTTGGAGGAGACAAATGGCACAGTGCAATTCAGCATGCAGAGATACAGAAGCATTTCTATTTCTATCCCAACAGTTGTCTTTGAAAGTCTTGACAGTCAAGACCATTAATTTTCCATAGTACAGTCAGTATAAGAACAGACTTATAAATATTTTCTGAAATTCGTCCTCAGCCTCTTAAGGTAGACTTGAAGAAAGCATTATGTTCAGTCATCATAAGAACACTGGCAGGAAAGTCTGATGCATTTCTTTGGAAGGTGTTTACAGAAACACTCCTTGAAAAGGATAAACTGATGCTCCTGAGGAGTTCACTCAGCCAGAATGGATAGACAAAAGATAGAGATCTCTCTCCTCTTGGAGAGGTCGCGAACATGAAAATTCTTTGATCCCATGATAAAATCCTGGCGGTGTTCCTATTTTTCTTCACACAGGAAGATTTGTAGTCTAGACTTCATTGCAGCCCTTGTAAGTAGAAGAAATATTTTGCTTATTCCATCATTGATCTATAGATATTTCCACCATGAGAGGACACCATTCACACAGGAATCAGCTAGTTTTTGATCATTACTTAATGGCCACATGGGAACCATACTGCTTCAAACAGTATCTATCTGCTCCTGCACGGAGACCTTTAAGATTCTACCTGGCTGGTGCTTGAGGAGAGATGAATACAATATTATCACATGAAAAGCAAAACAATTTTGACAGGTCTACAACACTGTTCTTGCTAGGAAAAAAGCACTAAGTCAGATAAGTAACTTCTAGGAAGAGCTACAAGAATGCCATTTAACTCCCACTCCCGCACTATCCTTTAGAAAATACAACAGGATACTCCTTTGGATGTAGGATGGACTATTTTCTAGCAGAGTTTGATGCTGGACCCTAGCAGCAGTACCAGATGAGGAAAAGAAGTCTGTACTTTTAACAAATACATGGGTTTTTTTGTTGTTGTTGTTTTTTGTTTTTTGTTTTTTGTAAAAGAGTATGAAAGGGCTGTATGAAAATTAGGCAGGAGGGAAGTTGAGGGAAATAAATGCAAGATGGGTGGATGGGTGAGTTCCAGAAATTCAAGTGTTTATTAGCAAAGCTTAGTGATGGCAGAAAGAGGAGAGATTCACTGCTTCTGCTTTTATTTACAAAAGATGCCTCAGGCTGAATTCTGAAACTAATGCTGAGAAGCAGGATACAGAAATGAAAATAGTTACTTCCTGGATAGGCTGGGTTGGCTGGATACAGTACCTCCTGAAATCATATTCTATATATTTCTGCAAAAAAGTACATTTTTTTCTAATACAGATGAGAGCAGAAAGATTCCTTCTGTATGTGATCTAGTGGGAGATATGATATATCCTGGTATCATAGAGGTTTTATGAGCTGTTGATAGTGGCAGCCAATTCTGGTACTTCTTCAAATTACTGTGCAAACACACCACTGAACTTCGGACAGGGCACCCATCTGACAGTGCTTGGTAAGTCTCCTTTGTATGTTTATTTGTTACTCTAGGATAAAACTGACTCATTTTTTTCCTGCTTTGTGCCTGTCATTTCCTTCACCTCCTCAAAATACTTTGCTTTGAAACAGGTGGGAATATCATACTGAAGAAATTCAGTTGGTGCTCTGATTATAGCTGTTACTTACGTAGTCTTATGGCTGGTTGAATCAAAAGGATGACTTGTCTTCAATAAACTCCTTTTCACAAGAATGCCTTTATGGGTCAAAGTTACAAGGCACGAAGAAAAGAGGCCTTTTTGAAATCACCTACTAAACAATTTAATGATCCTCTATAATTTACATAAAATCTTGGCATTTTTTGTTCACCTAGGAAGGAAACTTGAATTGATTTCTCTTTCACATAAACTCAGACTATGAAAAGCATCACAGTAATTCGGATTTTGGCTTATAATATTTTAGAAACAAGTGCTTTCAAAAAATGTTAACAGTGCTTAAACACTGCCCTTGAAGTTTAGAGCAGAAATCGAGAGGACTGTTACAAGTCAGGAAATGTCATTTACAGTGTATATTTGAAATTAAAGAAAGACAGAAACACTACTTAGAAGAATTCTGTCTTCCAGCTGTTTTTGCTTAAACCACTACTTCCTACTTTAGTCAAGCATGTTTAAGTTATTCTCTGTACAGTGAGCAGGATGATCAATCGTACAGCTGCAGTTAATATTTTCAGAACTATTTTTTTGCTATACTTGCACTCATAATTGTAAAAGGTGTTCCAAGGTTTTTGAGTATTTTTTTCTTCTGAGAGTATCAAAGCTGTATGAAAAAATAAAGTAGGGGAAAAAAAGAAAAAGAGAAACACAAACAGGAAAGTATGTGTGAGAAAGCCCGTAGAAGAAAGAACAAGATGAGGAGAATTTATTGAGTTGTTCTGATTCTTGAAGTAAAACCCATCCACTGGAGATAAGGGCACTAATACTCTGTTCAGGAGTTGAAAGATAGATTAGTGATCTCCTGTGATCATATTTCAAAGATGTCAGAAGTTTCAGAGGGAAGAAGAAGAAATGGGAAGTTTATGGAGTCTTCTCTATCCTCAACTATTCAAACTCTCACATTATTTCAATGGATGGTGCACACTGTCTTATTATATTTTCCCACTCAACTTCAGACAGTTCAACTTCAGACCTCAATGATTACAATGAGTGATAAGTGGAGGCTGACAGCAAAACTGAGTGTGTCTGCCATTTCTTTTTCACCCTACTTGTCACAGGTTTTTGTTAACACATGCCATAGGTTCTGATCTTTCTGTGGAAGCTAGCTTTTGCACATTCAAAGAACCATTTCCCAAGGAACATGTGTAGTACAATTTTTTTCTGGTGGCTCTGACAAGACTTTACATAGAAAATTCCACATGGCTTTAGTTCATCATCACTTAAAGTATTGAAAGTCAGTGTTTTCATAAATCTCTTGCTTAAAAACAGGGTTTTTTTGTATGTTCATGGAAAAGAGGATTCTTTAAATGAAAAAATGCTTTTGTAGTTACACTTGAAAGAAAGAGGAGAAAATGTACTAAAGGTCTACAAGGAAAGGATGGACAGAATCTTCCCAATGGTCTGAATATTTCAATGCTGAAATATCATGCTTTATCTCCTGTGGCTTGTGCATCTCCTTCAAAGGTAGCTCTTCTTTGTATGGGGGAACTACAATATAGAAAATTTGTGCCAACATGAAGGATGAAGACAAGGACCTCAGACATTTTCATGTGAAGGTCAGCAACAATATCATATTTTGAAAAAGAAATACAATTCACTTTTCTAGGTAAGAAAAAATGTGTATTGGAAAATTTTATATTAGGAGTTTCAGGAAAGACAGACCAAGGAAGATGCAGTTAGCAGAGATTTCAAAGAAGAAGGGGACAAATTAAACAATTCATTTTACTAGATTTCCCATGGAAAAGGATGTTTTTATATTTAATCTGTTATGATAATAAATCTGTAGAAAGTAAGCAAGATTAATATAAGACATTGGAATCAGAATGGTGAGATGGCATCAAAGAAGAGAGCTCAAGCCAGATAATACATGTTCTGGAATAACATATATTTTATCTACAATGCAGAACTCCTGGAGACTTCACATAATATTCTGGTTGTCTTCTGCTAAAAATAAATGATACTCCTGACCAAATCTTTTCTCCAAATTAGATTGCCTCCAGAATGAACCAATCCTTCGTATTCCTATGTTATTCCTATCTCCCATTGTCATATCTGGATAGAATGTGTGTCCATGGGACTGGGAGCAATGTACTTCTACTCAAAAGTAATCTGCAAAAGATATGGAGGCTGGAGGGAAAGAAAGAGAGAGCATGTCCAGAAGGTGTATGGATCTTACATTATGTAGTTTTATTCCTAAAAACATGTGAGGATATATCAGTGTCAAAGTGCAGTGGTAGACAATAGAGTTTTTTATTGATGACGGACACATGAGTAGTCATTTTTATGCTTTCATCCAAATCATCATTAGAACAAAATGCAGAATATTTAATGAAAAAAAGATTGCTGATAGACCTTCTTTTCAGTACATCTTTGGGTACTACTGGACTACTGGACAAAAAGAAAAAAAGTCAAATTTGAAGTTTTAACATGTTGATCCCTGGACAGGAGTGAGCAGTTTTGATATTGCACTGTGAGGCTGTGTTCTGTTAATATCCAGTATTTTGGAGAAGGAACAAAAGTAACAGTTCTGGGTAAGTGGGACTCATGAGAAGTGTGTGTTTTGTTGTGCAAGGGGAAGGTTCTAGGGCTGTAATAGTGATAACTAAGGATCTCTCCTTACTTATTTATAATATATAATATTAATAATATATAATATTTAATTATTAAATTTAATATATAATTAATTATTTAATTATTTATTTATGGTATATGATATAATATCCTTCATAATATTTATAATATCCTTTATAATATTTATAATATATAATTCAGAGGATTCAGATGAAGGATCCTCTCTTCAGAATTTCTATTATTTATGCTCTATAGTTAGCACAGACTAGAATGGAATATAAAAACTCAATTGGTATGGAATACGAACAGAATGCAGTATAAAAGTAATTCCAACTCTTTCTGAAACGCAGAAAGATGGATATGATATATAAGAACATTTGGTGAAAATGGCTGTATTTATTAAGCTCACCAAAAATATCCTGATGAACCTTATGCTCACATATAAGCTTACAGAGTGGTTTTAGTGGACCTTGATTAGACTGAATAAGGGACATATTTTTGAGTGGGCATTTTAAAGTAGTACTGCAGTTAAGAGTTTTGTGTAAGAAAGAAAGAAATATACCAAATACTAGAGAGTTCCTTTAAGATTCTGAAGTGAAAAGTGGGAACTTTTGGTGGGAATTTAATTGGCAAAATCTGGTGATCCTCACTTGAATTCTCTTGAAGAGCACAGAAAGAAAAGAGACAGGCAACACAACACGTTTAATAATAGGTAAGAAGAGGGGCATGACCGAACGAACCTACTGTGCTCTTGCTCTTCTAAAAGCACACTAAGAAAACCAGTTAAAAGATACAGGTAGTGGGCTAACTAGAAACAGTTTGAGAGAAAGTGACCTGCACGTCCACCTACAGGAAAACTGGGAAAATGCAATTTTTCTCAAATTAGGCAATCTAATGCTGACCCTGGACTGTACCATTTGATCCAGAGAACAAAAACAAGTATCCAAACATTGAAATGCTGCTTTCATTGAAATGAGTGATTAATCTTCAATAATTTTCACTATTTGCAATATTTCACTTCTTATTTTCAATCAGACATCTATTTGCACTACTTAGATTTGTTGATGTTATTTTTACAATGTCCGACTGTCCATCTGCTGTCTGGCTAATAAGATTTCATAAGGATTCCTATCAGACAGATGGGGAAAGAGGGAAAAAAAAAGAAAGAAATAGTTAAATGAATCTGAGAAAGTAAATCAGAAACAATTGAAAATGCTAAAAAGAGAGAGAGAGATAATTCTGTAATATCATCCACAGGGACATAAGAAAAGGTAAATGTGATTTATGTCACAAAAAATTTCTATAGCAGGGGAAATTTTACGTACATATACACACAAAACCAAAACCATTCAAGTATTCACACTTTCAGATACAGACAAGTAGACTTTGGGTTTACAATTTAACCCTGTTTTTCTCTGATCTATATTCTTTTCCATACTGACATCAATTGCAAGGAAAAGTAAGAGAAAGTTTTAATAGAAAAGATGAAGCTGAGGAATCCTGTGAGATGGGAATGAGAAGCGCAGTTGAAAACCTATTGGCTTTTCTTCGTGATGTAACAAACGTCGATACATATATATATATTTGCATCTAATTAAGAAGACACAAGGGATATAGTCCTCTTCTTTATTTCCAGGATGAGAGGAAGTACAATCACCATTGCAGAATTGAGCCTTCACAATTTAAATCCATATTTTACTCAGTAGATGGTAAAGGAAGATTTATTCATAGAATCATAGAACGGCTTGGGTTGGAAGGGTCCTCAAGGATCATTAGGTTCCAACCTCCCTGCCACAGGCAGGACTGTCAACCGCTAATCAAGTAGTAGATCAGGTTGCCCAGTGTCCTATTTAATCTGGCCTTGAATGACTCCAGGGACAGGGCACCCACAGCCATTCTGGATAACCTGTTCCAGCACCTCACCAGCCTCTCTGACTTCCCCTGACATCTAATCTAAATCTTCCCTCCTTTCATTTAAAACCATTCCCCCTTGACCTATAACTATCTACCTGCCATCTTCTATGTCATCGATAAAAGTGTTAAAGAGTACCGGTCCCAAGACAGACCCTGGGGGACATCATTTGTCACCAGCCTCCACCTCTACGTAAAGCCATTGACCACAGCCTTCTGACTGAAACCTTCTAAACAATTTCTTATCCATCAAATAGTCCACCCTTCAAATCTATATCTCTACATTATTTCATATCACATTTGCTTTTTCTTTTTTTAATATTACTGCATCTTGTTATTTTGCTCTACATATGAGCAATATTTTGTAACATAAATTAAACTGCCTGACATGCCTTTGACCACAGAAAGAACCCCCTCTCCCCACCCCTCCCCCCCTCCAAAAAAACAACAATCACCATTCACACATGGATCTTCTGAGAAATCGTACTTTAAAAATAGGTAGATCATTGGTCTGTGGGACTCAATTTATTTGCTTGATTGTTTCTTTTTATTCTTAAAACTGTAGGACAAGGATGGCTTAAGGTGAAACAAGGCAGGACATTTCAGAAAAGTCTTCACTCAAAACCCAAGGAAAAGAGAACACGCAGACATAAAAGGCTCAATAGATGGTGAAATCAAAGGATGAGTTTGGATCCTACTCATCATTCATCTTAGCGCAAAAGAAAAGAGAATTAAATTCTTTTTTTTTTTTTTTTCCAATTAGCAGCTCAGCTTTATTAACTTTGGCAATCTGGACAGTATCCAGAAAAAAAGTTTCATACATGCTCTGTACATTAACATTTTGAATACTTGAGCCACATTCTATTCAAATTTTGTATTGATTTTCGTTCAAATGGCACATACTGCACAGCATATTTAGTATACACTATGCAAAGATACTATAATCAAATGCGTATATAACTGTCTTTCAGCCTGAAGTCCATGAACTTGCACACTCAGCTCTATAGTTCTTATTTAATCTTGAATTTGGCGTCTAGCTTCCAGTAAAAATACTTCTGCAAAAACAAATTAACAAACAAAACCCACCATGGTTAGTTTTTTGTTAGTTAAATCATTAATGGAGGCTCTGAGCTACACTGTTTTCCATTTCAGGGAAGGACAATGAAAAAATCATACCACCGACTGTGGCCATCTTTTCACCATCAAAGCAGGAGATTCAACAGAAGAATAAGGCCACTCTGGTATGTCTGGCTTCCGGTTTCTACCCTGATCACCTCAATTTAGTCTGGAATGTGAATGGCAACAAGAGGACAGAAGGAGTGGGAACAGATGAGATTTCCACATCAAATGGGAGCACTTACACATTGACCAGCAGACTGAGAATCTCGGCCCAAGAGTGGTTCAACCCTCTGAACCGTTTTGAGTGCATTGCTGAATTTTTTCACGATGAACAGAAATCAATACATAAATTCATCCATGGTGATACTGGTGAGT